TTGTATAAAAAGACGGTTAGTTTTTTTTTTTATATTTCAGTTTTTTTTCAAGAAAGCTTTTTTTTTTTTTTTTTTTTTTTTTTTTTTTTTTTTTAAATTGTTTTCTTAGCAATTACTTTTTTAAAAGCTGTTTTTGATTTTGTTTTTAACACCTTTGAGGAAATTAAAGTTTAATCGCTCCTTAGATAACAAATTTTATCTAATTATGTTAATCCTGCTTTTTTGTGATTTGTTGGGGGAGGAGGGTGGTTTTCCTCCTAAATTTAATATGGTTTTTACCACAAAGTAACTGAACCACAGAAGAAGAAGTTTGGATGAAGTAGTGCGCAGCGGGATGGTTCCAGAGGCGTTTGACCTGAGTACAGACGCATCTTAGTGTTAGACAGACTTGAACGAAGCGAGATGATGATGATGTTACTCATGTAGATTCTACTGTAAAGGCAGGCAGATCTCTCTCCTCCCGACCTCTGCTTCCTGTATTTCTGTGTTTTTGATGCTTCGTCTCTATGCCGGTGGACTCACTCATCTCACTTTGGCTGTACATGTGCCTTTTATTAAAGATGATGGAACCTGCACAGCTGCCTCCGCCTGCATGTGTGTGAGTGTGCGTGAGGCGGCTCGAATGCTGGGACAAAAATAGTCTCGACTCTCGCAAAACCCACTGGCCTGTTTGAATTATGCATTCTGTGCCGCAGTTATGAAATCTAAATTTAATTTTGAAGGGCTCGTGTGGGTGATGGATACGTTTCATTGGATTAGAAGGGAGGATTATGAATCACGCGGAGAACAAAATGAATTACGCAGCGTTTGAAACAATGGCACATCAGCAGCCGTCGCTCGCTTGACAGAGAGCGCGGGTTTATTGCGGCAGAGCAAAACGAAGATTGCCTGCAGACTTAAAAGCACCTGTTTTGGCGTAATGACACAGTCCTGCATGTCTGTGAAAGAGCTAATTGGATTTTGGAAGAACTTTGCCGGGTTCTGATCAGCTCGGGTGGATGTTCAGCAGGAAAACAAACGCTAGTGTAAATAAAGTTAGTGATGGTTGAATTTCATTTAGCCGCTTCGGCTGCAGGTCGGTCGGTGCCTGCTGGCTCTTTTTCACTGTCACGATTTAGTAGAGAAACTTGAACACAGCCGAGTTGTCACTAATGTTGTTAGTCGCACCTGTGCTTTCTCGGTGAAGAGGGGAATAGTTTGAGTGAGATAGAGATGGTGGTTGGTAGAAAAAAAAAACAAAAAAAACTTGTTTGGTTTTTTTGCTCGTTTTGATTCCCACCTTTTATCCAAAAAGACTTCTCAAGTTCCCCCAGCACTGAAAGGCTTTTGCATAATTCTCACATATTTATAAGTTTCAGAAATCAAGAGATGTTTTAGAAAGTTAAGTCTTTCACATCTGGAAAATTTCCAGAAGCAATAATGTCCTTGATTTTGATTAACACCCTCTCAATTTTCCCTGAGCTTTAGCATCTTCACCTCCTAATGACTGTAATGTCATGTGAACATTAAGGGAACTGAAAGCTAAATCTGTTGCTGATATGCAGAGCATGAATGCCCGACACATTACATACACCATGCAACTCCAGTTTGAAGTCTTTGTCAATGGATGCCAGTGAAGGTGCTGCAATAACCAGAGTTTTCTCAGTTTTTCCGTCACTGGGGAAACAAATTTAGATATTTTAAAATATTCCCAGTAGTGAAAAATACAGCCATTAAGCAGAAACTAAATGGGCACCGACCAGCTGCATTTGTTGGGTTATCTTCTTCTATAAAACGCATTTAAATCATGCAACTACTGATTATAGCAAGTATTCAAAGATATATCTTTTTAAGTCAAAAACCAAAATTACAATAAACAATATGATCCTTTTAATCACTGCAGAAAGTTGTTTTGTGCATTTTTACTGTCACCATATGCCAACCTGACTGCGTGTTCTGCAGGGTCAAAAAGTTAATCAAAGCAATGCTCACTACTGAACACCAGGGGGTGCTGAAGTCCTACAGAAGACTAGTTAATGGAGACTTTCTTCCTCTCTGCTGTCACTGTTAAGTGTAAAAGCATCATTGGTTCTTGTCGGTTCTCTTGCTCCATCTCATAATAAGCCCATTATTCCTCTGGCTGAGTACCCAGGATTACACAAGTATTTTGCTCGTCAGAGAATGATGAATTGATTTCCTATAAACAGCCCTGTTTCTTCAATATTCAAATTGCTGTTTGCTACTTCGCCACAGAAAAAGGTTTCTGCTGCAGCGGATGGCATCTTCCTGTAATATTTCCTCTCATCACAGCTCTCTGTACTGTCAATGACATCAGCGTCGGGTTCAGAGGAAACAAAGAGGCTGGGTGATGCAGACATGTGACCTCATCAGTCAAACCATGGCACTTTATTCTCTTCACACAGTGCATTTCCTTAAAACACAATATATATATATATATATATATATAATTTAATAACAATATAAAACTCCATTTGTGTATATAAATTATGCATTCAGTACAGCAGCTCTTATATATTCTACTAAGCTTTGGTACAGTGGAACATTTATCTCTGTGAGCGAGGCTATGTTGTGAGTGTGGGAACAGCGAACCCACACCGTCAGGAGGAAAGAGCGTGAAGGTAAGGGAGTGCGAAAAAATGCATTTGCATTGAAAAAAAGAAAAAGGGGGGAAAAAAAAAGAAAACAGTGTGCCTGCGTGTGACTTGACACAGGAACCAAGGTATTGTCACACCATCAATACTGCATGTTCCAAGCAGGTGCTCTGAGGTTGGTGCAGCTACTGTGATGAGGAGGTGGGGGAACCACGCAGCAATACCCCACGTCTCCAACTCCCCCAGGCCCAGCTTTGCTTTGAGGAAAGGGCACCGAAGTGCCTCCCTGCAGGGGGGCAAGACGCGCAACGTTAGGGCAGATCATTTTTACATGTTGTGTTAGAACAAATGGATGAGTCAGTGGGGGCGAGACAGGAAGTTACCTGAACCATGCTACACTGGTGGGAGGCAACTGGTGTGTATGTGCCTAGCACAGGCTGAGGCTGGGTGTGGGAAGACTGCTGCACCCTCACAGCAGGGGGGTAACCTGCTGCACACAGACGCACCACTGGGATTATTAGGAGCTGATTTCATCACAGAGATAAATAAAAACAGTGGGCAACACAAATGTTTTGACATTTTTCTTAACACATTGTGAGTTGGGCTGGGCTATTGTCATATCACTGAGTCTTTTATGATTATTACATATACATTTTTAAATGTATTAAAAAGTTTAGCAGCAGTTACTGCCATTCGTGCTGAAATTAAAAAAAAACCATACTGATTATTAGTCACATTATTTGAGTGATAGGTTTCAATTACTTATGAAGAATATTTTTGCTGTATTCCTCTTCATAAAGTGACAAGTTTTGTCTATTTATAATGAGATTTGGACATTATTGCATATTTAAATTTACTTGATTGTATTCTGTCTGTGTAATTACTTTTACCTTCACTCAATATGTTTTGTCTTTTTTGTGACTTCACTGACCAAAAATAAGCTACTTTTTTTCCTAATAAGTTAATATTAGACGACTAACTTTATCCTATAGTCAGCTACTTAAAGTATCCTGCATGTAGTTTGCCAACTACATTTTTAAGGTAATAACCTTTAAGTAACAAATTATCTTAAAAATAGTGATAGTTTTTTTTTTTTGTTGTTGCTTTGTCAAGTTTATTTGTGTTATTTTTTTTTTGGGACAGAAGGTATTTTCAAGCAGTCGAATCTGGTTCGTTTGTAAGTGTAGTGGCCTTCTTTCAGCAAGCTGACAAGCAGTGTGCAACAAGCTAGTTAGTTGTAATAATCAGACAAAACTCTGGTCACTCGTAGTTTCTTTAGCATTTCATTATAAGGACTGTGATGCTTTAAAACATAAGACCTTCACCTTCGTAACTTCATAAGATCTCCTGCTTTATATTTCCTTCAAACACCAAATTAACACTGAATTAAGAAAAAAAAATGCTGGTAAAGTATTTAACCAGCAGGGATCAGGAGGTCGAACCGTGTCCTCGCTATGATGAAAAGAAACAGCAGGAAAAGAGACCGGTTCACTGTGAGACCCTCAGACTACATCTCTGACAGTGTAACGGCCCCCTCCTCTACTGTTGCAGTTTGCTCTTCTTCCACCAAAAAAAAAAAAAAAAATCAGACAAGAAAGAAAGAGGAAGTACCTGCTGGTTGTGCTGCTGAGCTGCGGACATGTTGGGAGGGCGAAGCGGGCCTGAATCCAGGCTGGGCTGAGGTAGGGTAAACGTACACAGGCACCTATTGGGTGACATCATTGCTGCTGAATATATACACTTCCAAGTCTAAAGAGAAATATACAAGGCAGAAAAAGGTGTTTGCCTTTACCTGTGGTGAGGGCTGGCAGAAGCTGGGCAGGTTAGGAGGGGCAGGAGCTGCATAGATGTAACCCTGACTGGGAGGGTAGATGGGAGCGGCGTCTCCTGTCGACGGGCAGCTCACTGTCACATGAGCAAACTGTGAGGAGAGATCTTCAACCTGTCAAGTCCAGAGAAAGGAGGTCAGTACACACAGACACACACAGACACGCACAGCGGGCCACTCAGTGATACATACTGTTGAGTATGGCTGTGAGGGAGTGACAGGTAACATCTGGGGAGCTGAGTAAGAGACAGACGAGTACTGAACCACCTGAGAGACGGATGGAGACACAGATAAATATGAGCGTGTCAGTGTGATCGTGTCTGGCATGTGTGACTTCAGTCGTTTTCCCGCATACGACAACAAAAATGGTTTCTCTACCCCATTTTCCCATCCTGATGTCTAGGTTCCATTTACAAAACCAGCCTGTAGCAATCTTTTTAATAAATTCATGGAAAACTGCAGTTTTTAATATTTTAAACTGAAGGTCAGGGTCAAAGAACTTTGGAAGGTTGAGACTGGGAGGGGAAAAAGTGTGTTTGTGTGCACTGAAAAAACACAATCCGAGTAATTTTGGTTTAGTTTCTAGTGCAGAAATAAATTACAACACAATGTGGAAGCTTTTAAGTAAATACCGTCTTAATATTGATGAAAATGTACGAATTATAAATTAAATAATCAGCCAGTGGAACAAGACACTTTACCCATTTTATACCTTATAATATGGGAGAAATGTCTTTCTGACATAGCTGGGTTTTCCAGTAAAAACCCAGCTGTGTCATAATGTTTTTTATTGGAAAAAACATTATGGGTTTTTTCCAATAAAAACCCATGATGCCTTGTTCTTCTCAAAACATTATGGGAAAAATGTCTTGTTCCACTGGCAGATTATTTAGCATATAACTAGTCCTTTTCCATCAATATTAAGGAATTATTGACCTAAAAGAAACTCGCATATAATGCTGAAAAGTTACTTGTTTATTTTTTTGTCTCATTTCAGATGTACTAAGATATTTGCAGTGGAAACTAGACCAATAATACTTGTAAGAGTTCATGTTTTTGCAGTGTGTCATGTATGATGTCAGTGTTTTCCAGGCGTACGAGTCAGAGAAATAGTTGCAAAACGTTTCTAGGTCATATTTCCTACCTTAATATGCAGTTTCCATTTATAAAACCAGCCTGCTCTAGAAATCTTTTTAATAAATTCATGGAGAACTTTAGTATTTCGTAGGTTGGGTCTGGAACAAAGTGTGTGGAAGTAAAGTCCAGTAAAGTGTGTCACCTGCTGCTGAGGCGGCAGAGTCTGGCTACTGATTGGTTGCTGACTATCTGGAGGGTTGTACACAGCTGGGCTTCCGTCAGGGTTCAGGAAAGGTTGCCCTGTGAGGTTAAAGGTTGAATATGAGGAACGTGAACTTGCTGTTGACAGAACGATGCGATGTGTGTGTGTGTGTGTGTGTGTGTGTGTGTGTCATGTACCAGTAAGAGGGTTCACTAGTATGCTCCCTGGTGGAATGCCGTTCTCCGCGACGTAGGTGTGAACCGGCTCCTCGATGATGGGAGGAGGCGGAGATGGGTGCGCACAAGGGGGTGGCAGTCTGTAAAGTGAGATGGAGCCTGACGGAGACGAAGAGAAGAATGCAAGATGAACAGCAGATTTCTCACAATTATTAAAAAAAAGAGAAGAAGTTGTGCTAAAAACAACCTCTTCCGCAGCCATGACGTTTTTTTTTTTTCCCCCCTTCTCCAGAATATGTGAGGAAGACTGGAGGTGTTGCGTGAAAATTTACAGCTCTGGTGTGAAGATTTGTAGATTGGAGTTTAATTTTCACACCAGAACTTCGACTTTTTGTTAATTAGACACTGCTGAATAAAAGCTGATAATTTATAAACAGCGAGCCCCGCTCGGGCACACGTGACGGTGATGAAGCCTGCGCCTCTATTTCCGTGTGCACAGGTGTGGAAGAGTGAAGCCCCCTCACCTCTGATGACTGAGTTTACACCTCAGTGAGACGAGCGATAACTGCTGAAAAGTTACTAAGCGATTTTTTTTTTTTCTTCTTCTTCTCCGAAACTTGAAATAAAAACGCACCTGATCGTGTGTCCCAGCTCTGACCGGAAGGCTGGTGGGCTTTCATCGCTTGACTCGTCCACTGGAAGGACGAGTCTGAATCTGTGCTGCTCCAAGGTGGGGGGTCGTTGCTATAGCAATAGTCGGTCTCGATGCTGCTCTGCTTGCTGCTGCCCGTCCAGCTGGAGCTCGAGTTGGCACGGCTTTTCCTGTCAGGCAGTCATGAGACATTCTCATCAAAACCGATCAGATCTTGGATTATTTGGATTTCTTGGAAGTAATGGAAGTATTACTAATAATAAAAAAAACATGTCATTTATATTACGAGTTGAGGCAAAGTTACAATGTGACTTTGCCTCAACTCTCAGCTGAGAGAGCAGCTACGGTAAAACAAATTGGAACATTTTAACAGAAAATATGTTTATGGAGACATTTGAGCCTCTTTTACGGATGTATTTCTAAGACAGCAGTCGAGAGATTTACAAAAAGCTGCAAAAATTTTAAAAACCAGGATATTACATAAAATAAAAACATGAGCAATTTTTTTTGTTTTCTAATCAGCCTTCCTGTTATCAGCTGAAAATCTTGCTCTCTTTCTCGTTCTCAAACCCCCACATGCATGTCTGGACATGTAGAAAACACAGTTTCTTTTTAGATGCTTTATTAAATCTCTATAAATCCTCTGGCTTCACTTTGTAGCACCTCACTGGTCCTGAAAATTGCTAACCTCAGTCCATTCATGTGATCTGAAAGGAGCATGATGAGAACATATTCACCTAAGACGGTTTTCAGACCACCTTCAGAGGAGTTTGAAGAAAATCTCCTCTCAGTGCAACACTCGTATCTGCACAGTCTGTCCAACAGCACATTTAAGAACCACCTGCTGACATATTACTCCTCATAGCAGCATTGCAGAAATGTCTCCTAGTAAAAAATCGTCCGTGAGCGATTTCTATTTTTAACAGAAACGATCTTCAAAAGAGAAAAAGAAATAGCAATATTGGAAAAATAATGACCACCTTTTATTAACGTTTCATTTTAAAAATTACTTTAAAAATTACTTTCAAACTGAAGTTTTTTAAAAGTTACTTTAAAAAACTTCAAACTTTCCAAATGGTGTTTGGACAGGTTGCAGTAGCTTTGGTAATTAGGTCCAAGTCTAATCTTTAGCTGATCTGTCAGGTGGGAATCTTGAATCTTGACCTTTAGACATGTCTACTCCTGATCAACTGGAACCAATATCAATACCAGGTCTAAACTGGGACCACAGGAGCCTCCTTTACACAGCAAGAACTTTTCCTGCGAGGAGTCTCACTTGCTGATTGGAAAAAGATTTGATTTTTGCGTTTCCAGCCAGCCAGTAACCGGTCAGGGCTAATCGAGCTGAAAATGGTCCGATTCCAGTCAGCAGTCTGTTTCCCTGTGAATCTCTGCCTACATGTAGCATGTAATAAAGGGATCAGGCCATCATCCATTAACTCACCAACGTTTTAAAGACTTAATGTACTTCCAGGAATCTTCGACACTGACACACACAAAGGAATAAAACAAGATCTAGCTCTTGCTGCAGATTCTGAAAAGCCCTGCGCCAGCCATGCTGACCAGATTAAGATGATAAATGGCTGCATGTTTGCAGCGAGCGCTTTACCTGAAGAGCTGTCTTTTCCTCTGGGTCTCCACGTATGAATTGTACTCCTCCACGTCCCTGCACGCACACAGGCGTATATTAATGTCCTCATCTAAATATAATATGCTGAAAGTTACATGGAAAATATACACCTCAGGCAAGGTTACCTGCTTTCTGCATGGCCGCTCTCTTGAGTGCAGAGTGGCTGCAGTGATAAAAAAAAGGAGGAGAAATTAACTCCAGTCCATTCTTTTTCTTTCTTTTTTTTTCTTTTCTTTTTTTTTTGTCGTGTCCCGTTTAGTTCCTCTCGATCTCTTTCTCTCACCTCTTTGTTGAAGATTCGTTCTCGTGCCCTTTGGTACTCTTCTTCTCTCTCCTCCATCGACTTACTTTGCCTCTCGCGTGAAGGGTGGTGGCGACCCTGTTAGGGAGGGGAATGGTGAAAAAGAGGTCAAGGATAGACTGCGATCAATGTCAGCTTTGAAGATAATTTCCTAGAGCAAAGTTAGACCTGGTCGTCCGAATTGTCCCTCTTTAATAGTATCTTCAGAGGGAATGTGTCTTCGGTCTTGTCCTTGTGAACCATGTCTGAGAAGCGCTGCTCCGGTCTAAAGCAGACAAATATTCAAATGTATCAGTTCACACCCATACGCAAGTGGCCACAGGGAAACACACAGATGTTTTTTTTTAGAGCTTACATGCGCGTGTTGCTTGTCCTGTTGATGATGACCGACTTGCCTGTGTGGTCCACATTGTGCTCCATGCCAAAGTAGGCCGCCACCCGATGGACCAGCATGCGGTGGTAGGACGACATTTGAGGGAACTTCTTAAAGGAACTGAGAGAAAGAGGAGGATGGAGATGAACTACGACCTCCAGAGGTGGTTCTGGTGGTGGATGGATTATGGATGTTAGGCCACAATGCCCCAAAAGAGTGATCCATAAGTTGTGCCTAGGTTTGCGTTTTACTTAATTGCATGTTTAGTCAGTGATAACATGGGTTGTTTACAATTTGGTGCTAGATTGAAGGAGAATCGTAGTTTTACTTAAAGATTTGTAGAACCTCTCTACCTGTGCATTAAATAGAGACACCGAAACACACACACGCTACTTCACATGGACTCACCTATTGCTGAAGATGAAATCAGTCATGTCCTGCTCCAGTTTCAGCAGTGTCAGACGGTCTCTGGGGTTGCTGTTGAGGGTGTCCTCAATAAACTGGTCCAGATCTGTGCCGGTAGAGTCGGTGTACTCCACGCTGGACTCTGAGAGACATGGAACAACACAAACTCTTATGTTGCAATAACAAATGCCTGCATTTATTATCACATTTAATTACTTTTCAAATTTATTTGCTTTCCACTTGTCTCTTTGTGAGGCGTCCGTCTCACACACACCTTTAGACAGTGGTGGTTTCTTTGGATCGGGGCTGTTCTCCTGCTCCTCGTCTCTACTGGAGGTCCTCTCGTTGTCATGGCAGCTGGATGGGATGTTTGTGTCTGGAGATACCTGAAACAGAAGAAAATAAAGAGTAATTTGAGCGCCGCGATGAGGCTGCGGACGGGGGCGGAAGGTTATGAGATGTGTACGTCTCCTACCTTGGTTTCTTCAAACGGGGAGGACTCCTCGCTGAACGCCATGCTTCGCACCAACTTTCCTTTGGGCTGAAACACATACACAAGCATTATTACAAATTCATAGGGCTCACTGCAATCGATATCCCAGTAAAAATGAATAATGAGAGGAGGCGCAACTTTAGCTTACCTTGAATTTTTTCTTTGGTATCACCTGGTTACAGTGTTCCTGCGGGCAAGGGAACAATTTATTACCAGGGCCTCGTAAAATGAGCGGTGTTAGGGAGAAAGATGAATCATATCGGCGTTGTTAATTAGCAGGATGTGTATGTTAAATGTCACTCACCTGCTGCTGGAGCTTCTTAATGTCAGTGTGACACTCCCCACCCCCCTTCTGACTGCAGAGGGGTAGACATGGCGACAGGGAGGGGTGGCTTTTTGTGTCACAGGGTTTTGCAAGGACATCTGCACTCTCTACGACCGCCTCCGTCATCCTTCTGAAAAAAACAAAAAAACAAAAAAAAAACACACAAAACCGCAAGCCCTGTTTAGCCAAATAATGACGCATTTGTGCATTTTATTACCATTTAGAGAAATATTTTTGGCTAAATTGTTACCCCGTCCCTACCTGTGTGGAATTGTTTACTGGAGAGCCTTACGAGTGAATGATGGGGTCATATATCCCATGTTCCCACAGGGCAGCAAGAAATGCAATTATCACGTCCGCCTCTGCTCGGCTTCGCTAACGTTTTCTTCTCTGCAGGCCCCCTTCAATGGTCAATGGAAAACAGCCTGAAGAAATCAGAAAACATAAGAGAGAGAGAGAGGGGGGAAAAAAAACTGTCAGCAGTTATTGTATGACAGAATCACCGCCGCACGCCTGTTTCAAACGGTAGCCGGAGCATAAAAGCCCGCCTGCAATCTTGTGTTCGTTTGTGTATGAACCTCTGTCGGCACTTCCAGAAAGCTCTCCTGGCTTGACGGCTAATTGCAGTCTTCCAGCAGTAATTGTTTTACTCTGCGTCTTCAACGCACGCGTACGAACGAGCCTTGTGCTCGGAAGTGAAACCTGCCTCACGCGTGCACGCTATGTTGGTGCGCTTGTGCGTTTTAAACCACGTCCTTGAGCTTTTCTTAGAAACAGCAGCTGCAGAGGAAAGAGAGAGAGTCAGAGCATCATCTGATCCGGCGACGCTGATATTCCCCCGAATGCCGAGCCGAATCCCTGATCCCTGTGGCGAGACAATCGGAGGGGACCAGAGGAAAGACGCACAAGCCACACACAAAGGAGGCGGCATTCCGGCATCTTTTCTAAAGCGGGCGCAGTCTGCTGTAACACGCCGCTCCGGGGGACGATTCGGCCTGCAACACCTGAGAGGGAATAACGAGCTGAGAGGATGCCGAGTCCCACAACATGACTATTTAACAGCTGAACGCAGTTTACTTCCCATTGGCATCTCAGTGCGGCATAAATAAAAAATATCATTGACATTGAAATCTCGGCATGTGGTGGTCTAAAAATTTACATTATAAAAGGGATTGGCTGTAGGACTGTTGCGTAAACATACATTATGTATAATCCAACCTTTTACAATCGAGAAGAAATTCACCGCAGCTGCACCAACTAATCGGCCACACATAGGAATCACATTATTTTTCAGATGGTGATCAGTGGGGTCAAACGTTGAAAAAAAATGATACTTTTCCCACCTGTTCAATAAATATATTAAAATTAAGAATTGCCACCATTTTTGGTCTATAAAGACAGGCAAAACATAAGATATTGACATATAGATTGCTAAATAAATGGGGCTATCTACTCGGATTCAAAACTACCTTCTTGATCAAAGAGCCTGCACACATTTTTCCTCTCTTATTTATTTTGGTTCTGAATTGGATAAAAACCGAACAGATCGAACAAAACCCAAAACTGTTATTGGCTAGATACAATAACTGTATTAAATACAGCCGCATTTAATAAACTCGAATATGCAGTTTAATGAGGATCATTTGTTGCACTGAAAGTATCTTTTGAAAATAACAGCCTTAAACATACTTTTCATTACACCCACATTTCTGTATTAATAATGTTTTTATTGGTCTGATGTAATATCCTGCTCTAGGAAATTAAATGTCGCATTTTTTTTTAGCTGTAAGCAAAAAAATTATAATTAACAGAAATAAAGGCTTGAAAACATCACTCTGTGTAATTTAAATAATACTTAGTGAGTCAAGTTACTAAAATAAACCAAGTTTTCTATAATGCTGTATTATACTGAACATAGGAGGTTATTTCTGACCTGCCAACACAGATGTTTTGTAAGGATAATAAGACATTTAATAATAATAATAATAATAAAAAAAGATTAATGAGTTTTTCACCAGCCATTCAGTTGGAAGCTGATTGGTTCTGATCTCTGTGCATCTTTATTATTAACCAGAAATCAAACCAAAGACCACTAAGATCCCCGTATTTCTGCACCTGACATTTCCCAGTGAACAAGATGCTGACAAAGATTCGCACAGAGACGGAATAATCAGGATTTAACTGGACAGGAGTGTCCAGCTAATCCCAATTCTGACCGATTCTCTTTTTCTACATAAAACAGAAAAGCTGGGGTGTAGGTTCGCTGACAAATACTTTTGAATCCAGCAGAAAATGAACAACATATATATAAAATTTTATTTTTATCTACCTAAAGTAGTATCAATATACATGTTGTTGACTAATGGATTTATAGACCAAACACTGTGGGAATTCTTAGAATTGATGAGTTGACTAAACAGCGAAAATCTGATTTTTTTTTTTTTTCTGAATTAGACCTGATCAGATCAGATTAATCAAAGCAACAAAGCTCCTGCATGCCCCTCTAGCTGGTGAAGTTTCACAGTTAACAAAAGACTAATAAAGATCCAAATCTGGCTTTGTGTGGCGGTCTACTGCAGCCTGTGTAAAGAGGAAATGGTTGAGAGTTGTATAAACAGTCCAGAAGGACATAATAAGGTTGGCGGGCTCCCTAATGTGCTGCTGGCGAGTTCTTGCTGAGCTGTCCATCAGCCAAACACACACCAGCTCCATGAACGCTGCTGCCCTGTGGTCAACCCTGACCCCAGACCTCACAACGCGAGAGGGAGGGGAGGGGTTGAGGAGAATCAACACATCTCCTTTAATTATGACGATCAAAGAGAATCTGGATGTAAACCAGGAGGAGGCATGCTGGGGCTGGATTATGACTGTGAATTTACACCAATAAGAGATGACACGAAGAAAGACAAGAGGAGGAAGGCTATGGAGCAGATGAATTAGATGGGAAAAGATAAAGAGAGATGAGAGAGAGCGTTTTGCAGGGGGTTTTAAAGGTGAAAGATGAATGAAAAGAGGCGATGGAGGAAGGAGGGGAAAAAAGTGAGGAATTGGTGATCGAGAGGCTCGCAGCGACACTCCTGCTTCCAGGCTTTTCAGCCGACGGCAGTGAAGAGGGGATTAGAGCGCAGCCACCGGTTTTTGAGCTGAGCGCTGCAGAAGTGGCCGGCCGCCCGGGGAGAAGGTGTGACACGATCATTAGCGTGTGACGGATGGCGGCGGGAGGCAGGGAGCACCAGTTCCCGCTACATCATCATCCATCTGCTGCTCTCTCCGAAGCCTCTGAAGCCTCGGAGCCACTCGCCCACCGGGAAACCTTTTTTCTCCGGCCAAAAGCTTTCCGGCTCATCTACACACTGACATGCAGGCAGGACGGGGGAAACGTATCCAAGAGATGCTTTAAGCTCCTAAACCTGCTGCAATCCTTTTTGTAATTAAAACCCCTAAAAGAAAAACAAAAATTCACCTATCAATAGCATATCGCTTCTATTGTTTACCACTGTAGCTTGGCTGCTTAGATTTGTCACCCTGAACTCTTGTACTTGTAAATATTTATATCCATATTTGCCGACTGCAGGTTCCTTTATCATCATCCCACTCCATCGCATGAAACGAATAAAACAAGAAATCCTTACCGCCTCGAATCAAAGAGGCTGCTGTTAGTGTTTTCTCTCTAAGGGCCTGGCTGACTCTAAAACAAGATCTTATTTTATTTTTCTCCTCAGCCAGGGAGCTCATTAGGAAACGCTGATTCCAAAACTGTAATTGTGAATTTTGAGGCTAACTCTGACCCATAACGTTTATGGGCTTTCTTCTAATTGGGGGTGCGGGCGGGGGAAGACACGATACATTTTGTGTCATCATTTCAATTTCAGTTTTGCTGGTGTGTGAGTGTGTGTGTGTGTGTGTGTGTGCGCACCTTTTGAATTTTCTGCACACGAGTTTCATTTTCATTTCCTTTTTGCTGCAAACCCACAGCAGAGTAACGCGTTATCTCACACCGCACTTTAAAGACGACTGAAGAGCCAGCAGTAAGTAGGTTGCACATGTTAGATTTAGGTTATACTGTCCTGTCATCAGCACCTGGCCAGCCGCACCAGTCTTATCACGAAGGTGAAGGTGACTTGTGGTTTCCACAGCTGCGTTGCTCTGCAGCTGAACTCAAACCCCAGATAGGGAAAAAACGCAGACCATATACGTAAGCGCAACTCAGCAGGGTGGCAAGAGCTGCCGCTTCTGCTGCTTAGAAGGGGAAGTTCGCAAAAACACCTGAGCTCTGAAAAAAATAAATTCAGAAATATAGACGGCAGTGTCCTAATGTGCAGGATTATTACCGCAAGGTTTGTGCATTTGCACGTCAACAACATAATCAGCCTGTTGCCGCTGCAGTAGGTGGTCACACCGGACAGACGATGGTTAAGACGGTCACAGATGAAAAAGGAATGAGTGAAGAAGAAATAGATTTAATGAACACTGCAGTGGCATCACCAAAGGACAGTGGCAAAACGTTATTATGTGCAATGTTCTTATATTAATGATTATTAATTCAACAGAAAGAAGGTTAAGCATCAATTAGTTGAATATAATATTTATTTATTCGCACAGCAGTTGTTTTCACAGCATGACACTTTCTACTATCTGCTCCCTCCAAACCAGTGTCATAATAAAACTCTCACTACGTGGCCACAGCTTTCAAATCGTCCTCTGCCTCAATGTTTTCGCCAATGCAAAACTCAACAGTAATGATGTCACTTGGATCATTTTCTAACATTGTGCAGCTTTGTTCTGGTAGCCAGAAGGCGTAAATGGGTCACAGATCACAATCTCTCTGCTCAGACATACAAAACTTGCAGCAAAAAAACAAAAAAAGATAGTTTCGTGTTCTTTTTATGTCCTCGTTAGTCCAGCAGATTTTGTGCATACTTCTGTAGAGTTGAACTATTTTAGTGTGTTTCTAACTGAAGGTTTATTTTGTGTGTTAGTTAGTTTTGACAGCCACTATAGTCTTATCTTGATCTTTTCATATTTAACTTTAGCAAGTAAAGGGTTTTTGTGTCTTTTTCGCTATTTGAGATCTCTCCCATCCATAGTTACAACTATGTCTCTGTCTCAGACACATATGATGTTTCTGAATTTTAAGTGTTTGCGCCCCTGGGCCTGTGTCAGTAACCCATGCTCGGCTCATTTACTAGAAGGATGCAGGGGGTCGGCTCACACGAACAGGTGGCACCTCTGCGGCTTCCTGTTGACCCGCATAACCAGACGGATAAGTGCTCGGGAAACGATCTCTCTGGGCTCTGTTTGGGTACGGGTGTGACCAAGACTAAGCTGAGCTGAGCTGAGCTGAGCTGACACACCGGGCTATTTTTACACCGGTCTAGGAGGGAGCGGACCTCCTGCTCCGGGACTTCACAGCGCTGCTGTTCGGGCGGGTGAAGGATGTACAGCTGCTGGGGGCTGGTTTCAACCCACCAACGGAAACACTCATTGATGCAATCAAGCTTTATGTACTCTCACTTGAGCAGGAATAATAATAATAATAATAAATATATATATATATATATATGTATATATAAACGGCAGAGGATTCGGAGTAGGGGACGTCTTTTTCAGGGTATAACAAACCATTCAGCGGAGCCGCTGAATGATACAGACAGACAGCGAGCTGCGGCTGAGCTCCGCTAGCTGGAGTCAGACCTCCAGACTTCCCCCGCCGTCACTTCATAGTTTCAGCTTAAAAAAAATCGTAGCATTACCTCTCCAATTAAAACAACTCGAGAGAAAATAACCAAAGAATCGAAAAGAAAGCGAGCAGCGTCGATGTCATCGCCCCTCTCTCCCCCGCGGAGCGACCGTTAGTCAGCTTCTTCGCGGTGACGATCGACCGTTAGCTTACCGTGAGGTGACGCTCCTCCGCCGGGTTCCTGCCGGTGCAGCCGGTGCCGACCGCCGCTTCTGTACACACCGCGTCTGTTGACTGAAGGGCTCTGTCGCTCCTCCCCAGCCTTTTGCTCGTCTCGGTGTAGGCAGGCAGGAGGAGCAGGGGGAGGAGAAGCAGCAGCAAAAGGAGAAGGAGGAGGAGGAGGAGGAGGACGGGCGACAGCTCTGAACCCCGAGCCACGCGCCCACACACACACACACGCACACGTTAGGAATGCACGAGCTCCTGTCTCTCCACGCGCCCTGAAAGCCAGCTCCTCTCTGCGCATCTATCCACCTGCATTCACCACTTTATTTAACCTTTCAGACCTTTAGTTCACTGCTGATACTCACATACTTACCATTTATCAGTTTTTTTTTCTCTTTATAAATTTGTTTTATTTTGTTACTTTTCGAACAGAAAAAGTGACTTTTTATTTGGATCTAGCAACATAAAGTCGTGTGATTGTTTAGGATAAATGGTTTCTCAATTTTTTAAAATTCAGTCCCATATTAATCAGTTAATAGTTAATTCATTTTACCTGTGTATCTGGAGTTGCTTGTGGCCAATCAATTAATGAAGTACAAGCAGTTAAATAGACAACTCTTTACATCTAGGTTTTCGTCCTCAATATTCCACAGATGCTCCTTACTTCTTATTGAGCAGTTCAAATAATCATTGTAGCTAAAACAGTTAATAAGTGTTAAAAAATACATGTTATTCTTCAACCATGATGTTCTAATGCTGAAATTATTAAACATGAACTTTTCAAAGAACAGCTTAGAGTGGTTTAGATCATTTTTTATGAAACTTGGTCAAATTCAATCTTATCAGTAGTGAGAAATTGTAATTT